TATTCGTGCCTTTGCTTTTGTACCGTACACCACAGGACTCACATCCAAACTGAATCTCTATCTCTTCCTCCATCAAAGGCAGCTAGAAACTTGGGTTTCAGGTATGTTGCTTATCATGACTAAAGATCTGGCAACAATTTCCCAAACGGCGTCCCTTCAGTCTAAGGCTAAACTCCTGTGAAGCGACTTACGAGCGGCGGGGGTGCAGGTGGAAGTAGAGGGAGGTGACCGCGTCGCTGAGGCTCTGCAGGTGGTGCCAGGTGGACAAATCCTGGGTGCTGATGACCAGTAGGGAGCCCGACTGGGTGCCTGCCACCAGCCAGTCGCAGGCCTGGTGTGGGATCTGGACGGTCACTAGGCACAGCACGGGGCTGGTGTCCACTTTCTGCTTTCAAAAAGAAACCGCGTCAGCGTCTGTGTGCTGCGGGGTGGGGTGGGTCCAGTTTTCTCTGACAGCGTCACCTGTGTGGTGACGGCGTCGGTGTTCAGGTCCACGGCGGCGACGTAGCCCCGCCTCTGCGAGCTGCTGCCCCCCCCCAGCCAGGCGGCGGGGCGGAGGCCATCGCTGTGTCCGGAGCTCACCGCCATGCACTCGGCGCTGAACGCCCGGGGGACACGCAGCTCCCTCATGAGACACAGCATTTCCCCCGAGTTCAGTCTGTCAAACACCTGCGTGCAGGATGCGACAGCAAGAAACCTCAGAAACCGAAACCAAACAGGATTTCAGGTCTGGTAGCCGAGACCAAACGCTACCAAACAGCCCCTCTGTCTGTTGTGTTTCTATTCTCGCCTGAGCAGAAGTGGGTCGATCCAGTGGGTTTCCCCTCAGGCAGTCCTTCATCAGCGCCTGGAAGCCAGGCCACGGCGAGCAGCCGTAGTGCTCCACCGGATCTGCGTGTGAACATTGGAACCATTATTAGTGACAGCGGGGCAAATCGTGGATCAACGAAATGAAAAACGTTCCAAATTAAGACAATCTCATTTGAGGTCATTCTGTTCGTCAAAATGGTCAAATCCAGACTTGAATGACAAGAAAAAAAAACTGAGCACAACCTAAATATTTCTTAGAATAATCAAATCCGGTAAAAACCGAACACAGTACAGCTGACGTAGGGTGAGAATACGGAGAAACGTCAGCTGGTTCCGTCCTTACCTGGCAGCTTTCCCTGCACTGCGATCTCGTCGAACTCACTGGGGAACTTCATGCCGTCTGAGATGCGCTCCCCACACGTCAGCAGGTCGTACAGCAGCAGGCCGAAGGAGAAGACGTCGGCCTGCTGGTTGTAGATCACGTTGCCCCGGGCAACCTCTGGGGCTCGGAAACCTGGCAGATGCACAGGGGTCAGCTCAGAGTAGTTGGGCCGGTGAATGGGGAAAGCTTAATTGAAGGTTAGAGGCTGCTCTTGCTAGCTGGGATAAGGACCCTGCTGGGAATAAGCGGAATAGACAATGTACGGATGGAAGGGGGGTCTGACCTGGCGTGCCCTCGGAGCTCCGCACCCCCATGCTGCAGCAGTACTGAGCGATGCCGTAGTCGGTGATTTTGGCGATGATCTCCGAGTCGGTTTTCAGGTTGAACAGGAGGACGTTGTGAGGCTTCAGATCTCGATAGATGATCATGGCCGAGTGAAGGTACCTGATTGGATCAAACGGTGACCGAGTGGGTTTCCCCTTTCAAATGTTTGCAAAAGTTTCATCCCGCGTTTGTTAACCCCAGGAGTGGAGGTTTGGTTCTGATTTTTAGAATAGAGTTTGCTGTGGAATGCATTTTTTAGGTGATGAATGAGTCGACGTCCCACCTGAGTCCGTCGGCCACCTGCAGGGCGATTCTGTGCTGGAGCTTCTGGTTGAGGCCGCTACTCTCGTGCACGAAGAGGGCGTCCAGAGACCCTCGCAGAGCCAGCTCCATCACCAGGACCTGGGGGGCCGAGCCGGACGCCAGCAGCCCCACCAGGCTGGGGTGGCGCAGACGACCCAGCACCGCCAGCTCCTGCAAAGCAGCCCGGGGCAGGACGCCCAGACGGGCAGCGCCCGGTCAGTGCTCCTCTCAACCCCATGAGCCCGACACTGTCTAAGGATTTGTGTTCATGGTTTGATGCTTAAACATGGTGGGGTAAAAAAAAAGCTCTCAGAAAGTAAGTAATTATCTTGAATTTTCCTTTCATTTAACAGCTGACGTGTCTCACTGTGTGATCCATGTATGGTAGCATCACCAGCCAGACAATAATAATGTTTTAGTAGGCAGTTGTGTTGGTTAGCTTGGTGTTATGTGACAGGAGTCATTATGTAGGCATGAAGGAATGGAGTAAAGCGCAAAAGACTTAAATAGAAACATTTCCTAAGGTTGTAATATTCAGCTGTAGAAAAAGATAAAACATGGACTGAGAGCACAATACTAAGAAAAAGAGCAGCTGTACCTGTCTGAGGAGCCTGTAGATGTACAGCTCTGATGCATGTTTGTTGAATATCTTTACAGCAACTTCTTCGTTCTTGTAGACGCCTCGATACACAGTTCCAAACCCGCCATCACCTGTAAGCAGGACACAGATTTGCACATTTGATATTACTACAATAGAACTTTAGGCAATGGAGATGTAAGCCCTTCCAATAGTCTGTCTCAGAGAAGAAAAAAACAGAAAAAAAACACACACCTAGGCGATTCTCTTGACACATGTCTACTTCCAGCTCCTCACTGTCCAGTATTGTGCCCGCGGGCTGGTCACTCAGCACCAAGTCTGGAGCTATTTGAGAGATGGGAAGCGTGCAGCGGGGATCATCCGGGTTCACCAGCAGAAAGTCTACGAGAAAATGAAGGAAAATCAGTGTAGTCATTCTATCTCACAGTAATACTGTATTAACAGTAAGAGATTAGATCATGTACCGTTATCAGAAAAGCTTAAAAGGTCCTCCAGTAGAATTTTGCTGGGCTCCTGTCCGTCCTCAAAGCTGTAGAGAGCCCACCTCTTGAGCAGGGCTTCGCCGTTGCCGTGCATGTCGGTGTTGAGCAGACCGGGGAACCACTCCTCCAGCACCGAGTCCACGTGGTCCACCACCTGGCCCAGCAGCATCCGACCTGAGAGCAGAGGGCCGGCGGTCAGCACAGGGAGGAGGGGACACCGTTCTTTCTGGATGCTTCTCCGACACCTTTCCGTGACGACGGCACAGTTATTCTGACGAAGCTGGAGGGGTTTCCCTCCTCTGCGGCGGCTTCCACCAGGCAGTAGGCCTCCGGGGACCAGTTCAGGTATATGCCTCTCCTCCAGTAGATCCTGTTCGGCCGAAGCGCTTTTTCTGTAAGGAGAAGCTAGATTTTACTAACCGCCCTTTTCTTTTTAGGGTGGTTACAAACAGGAGCACCCTCCCGAGCAGCAGGGATGTTTTCAGGTTACCTCTCCCAAAAAGCAAGCAGGAGGAGACCTCCAGCAGCCGGCTGATCTGCCGAGACCAAAAGTCCATGGGGAAGTATGGCATCTCATACAGACGCACAATCATCTCTGAGTTCTCACAGTGAGGCAGCTCTATTTCAGGTCTGTGCTTGGACAAACTGCAAAAGATAAGTTTGAGTTAGTCCCGTATTGGCATCGGCCTGGCCCACGACACCTCTATTTGGAACACAATCCCAAAAGTGCGGGCGTAAACACACCTGCCGGGGACGAGCAGCTGGTCCTCGCCGAAGGGAAGAGCGATCTGAAACTTCTCCAAAAGTTTGAAGAACTGGACCAGATGGCTCAAAGGGAAACACTTGGTCTCAAACAGGAGCTTTTCCACCACCGAGCGCTGAACAACACCTTTGGACTGCTCCCAGACACCACAGCTCTTTAGGGTCAGATTCTACACGCAGGACAGAAAAAACACACCTGAAGATTGTTTCGTTTCCGAATTTAAATTGAGGTACATTTCTTTGAAAACAAAAAAATGTAAAACCTTTTTTTTTTCCAGGGTCTTTTTACAGTGAGTGACCAAAGGCCTGGAGGATATATAACATTCTAGAGGATCTAAAGTAAATGCTTTAAAGCTTTATAAAAACACTTGCAACTGTAAAATATCTTGAAATTCTGCTTAGTTTACCAAAAATCAGACCTGTAATTGTCCTACACGTGTTATATACGGGTACCTGGGAGAGGATGCTGCACAGCCATTGTGGACTGATAAAATAAAGCTCTTGAAGCTGAAATGCCGGATCATCAAAGTGCAGTAAAATCCCTAAAGGGCAAAATAACACAAAGAGTTGATCAGTGGAAGCACAAATCACTATTTTAACATCAACAAGATCTCCCAAAAAGTTCAAATGGTATGTTAGAAATGTGTATTCCATTAAAGTAGGATCTGAATACAACAAAATATTTTCATAAATTGAGGCACCTCTAACATTTTAACTCCCCAATGTACCATCAGAAATTCTCTCAAACGTTCAGATGCTAAAGAAGTCACTGACAGCTAACTGTTGATGTATGCTGCTGATAAGAAATCCAAATGTATTTGTAGAGGTAGAATGCGTTCCGTGTTCCTGTGGGAGTAAAGCGAGTCTCAGCTCCAGACTCACCCACTTCACTGAGGAAGTGAACGGCGTGGGGCAGCTCGGCCTCCTCCAGCGGTAGCTGGCTCTCCTGGATGATCTGCAGCAGCTGGTGGTGCCTGAGCACGGGGAACTCCGGGGGGACGCTGCTCCTCTCCTGGAACAGCCTGCGCTCCAGCTCCACGTAGCTGTCGGGCACCAGCTGGCCCATAACGGGCTGGCCCTGGATCTGCGTGAGAGCTGAGGTGAGCGTGTGACTCCCCGGTGTGAAAAAAGAACCTCCTTTTACCTTGAAGCCGGTGACCTCGCGGCTGATGGCCTTGCGGAGTTTGGCTATGGAGTCGGAGTCCTCGCAGAAGGAGACCATGTGGTAATCCCTGATGGTGGGGAAGCCCTGATGGTTGAGCAGCTCCTCTCTGACTTTGCACAGGCAGGCCTGGAGCTGCCACTCCTCGCTCATGTCCGTGTGCGTTCCCACCAGGATGACTGGAGACAGTGGAGCGACTGCCTAAAGGGGCACATTTTTCCTCATCAAAAACGGACAGTGCACACATCTCAAACTACGGAGGCTTTCATTTCCAAATGTTTGGGCTGGCGGGGGCCTTGGTTTACAACTCACTTTGATGTTGAAGAGCCAGGGTTTGAGGGCGTCCACCTCACTGGTTCCTTTGCTCAGGTTGTACACCACCAAGTAGAGAGCTCTGGACGTCAGGAAATGTGGGTGAGAGCCACTGAACTCCTCGCTGCCTGTGAGGCAAAACCACAGAAACGGACATATCCACCCTCAAAAACGAAAGCAAAAAAAGACACTGGTGCTGTCACTCTGGTCCGGCGGTGGCTGTTCTGAACAGGATTCCAAAGGCTGTCTCACCTGAAAAGTCCCACACGTTCAGCACCATTTTCTTCTTGTCCCTCTCCCTTATGGCCCAGTCCAGGACGTGGATGCCCACGGCGTTGTGCTTTGCGCTGGGCTGGCTGCGCTTCAGCTTCATCAGCTGGTGGATCAGGGTGGTCTTCCCGCTGCCTGCGTTGCCCACCACGATGAGCTTCATGCGGTAATAGGGCACGGCCTTCTTCAGGCGCTGCTGCAGGAATCTGAGAGGCCGGAGCAGATGGGGCACATGCCGCTGAGACCAGCTTTGTGGACTTAAATCACCACCCGGACCGGAAGGCCCCTAACCTGATGATGTCTTTGGTCTTACTGCCGATGAGTTTGAGGTCCAGCTGCAGCCGGAGGCCTTCCAGTGGCAGGTCCCACAGCCGGCCCAGTTTTCCCATCTCATCCGGGAACGAGCGCAGGCCCGTGTTGCGACTGACGTCCAGCGAGGTCAGGCCCTCCAACGAGCCGATCTGTGGCGGGATCTGTGTGACGGATAACTGTTAAAGCCTTTCCTCCGTCCCAACCAGCCATTTAGAAGCTCACGTCAGTGTTCCCACCTCGCTCAGCTGGTTCTCGCTGAGGTGCAGCTTCTCAAGTCGGGCCCATTTGTGCAAGGGGCCGCTCAGATCCAGAGCTTTGATGCAGTTCTGGCTGAAAATCAGCTCCCTGATGTTGCTGGACGACCAGAGTCCCGGGCCAGGCAGAACAGAAATGTCATTGGTCCTCATGTCCACTGAACGCAAGCTGAGCCAGACAGACAGAAGCGTTCAGGGAGGTGTTTGTAGCAATAATCGTGTTCTTTAAGAAGCAAGATTCTTACTTTGGGAGATCGAGTATGGCCTCGGGAATGTGGGAGAAGCTGTTGTTGGCTAGCTTTATGGCGGTGATCTTGGCTGGCAGCTGGGACAGAGAACCTGAAGGAGACAGGGACCGTCTTTAGAAATGAGTACATCACAGACTGGACCCGCACAGCAGCCACAACAGTCACAACAAGCAGAAGTTTCCTGTACATATCTAAGCTTACATTGACCTGACTTTTAAACTATTGTTTTGCATGTGTGAAATAACAGAGTCTATGTTATATCATTATCTGTTTATTATTCTAAGTTTTCTTTGATTTTTCTAAACTCAGTCAGGTGACTTTTGTATCAGTATCATACAAACATGTTTAACAAAGCTCCAAATGTTATATTTTGTTCATTATATTCTATTATGTATTGTTCTAACTGTGTTTTATGGCTTTAAAAGACATGAGATTATGTCAGTGAGGTCAAATTCTCAAACATTTTAGACGTTTTTTTCCAATGCTGGGTAACTGACTAATATTCACAATATTAGTCAGGATCTGATTTCAAATTCAAACAGAAACATGCTTACTTTGTACACCAAAAAAATCATAATTTGCGATTATGAGCAGACAGATTGTTGTTTTCTTATAAAAGAGTTCTTAAACAATAGTATTTATGAAGTTTGACTGCATTTTTTCAACCCGTGAACTGGAAGCAGAGTTGTGTCTACACATAGCAACCTATTTCAATTTTTTTAAACTGAAGTTAAAGATAATGCAGTTTGACAGACAGAAACAAGGCGATTCGCAGAGCTGTTACGTGCTATGTTTTTGTTGTGTTGAGTGTTTTAGTGTTTTGTTTTTGAGTGCAAGAACGACTCACTGATTTTGTTTACGGAGGCGTTAAAAGTCTCCAGTTTGGGGCAGCCGTCCAGGAAGTTAGGGAAAATCTCCTGGATGCTGTTCTTGCTCACATCCAGCAGCCTGATCTCCGGCAGACACAGGGGTGTGCGCAGCTCAACGATGCTGTTCCTGAACAGGGTAAACATGAGAGGAGATGTTGTTACCCGCGTTGACACCCACACCGAAGGCTCAAAATGGATTATTAACATGTATTCACGGATATTAACGTATATAAGGGTTTAGCGGTATCATCATTTTGATTCCTTCAAACCGTCTCCACATTGTACCCTGGTATACGGTATTATCGTGACTAGTTAAGAATGATGACTCAAGGTGCAGACAGCGTCACCAAACTAAAAATTCAACCCTATATATCTGCTGCTGGATATAGAATGTTTAAAGCATTGATGTAATAATATCATGTATTTAATCTTTATCTCTGATATAAGCGCATTGCATTTTTTAAATGACGGGTTGAAACTGATACTGTTGCTTTTGAAAGATACTTTACAACCGTATGACCGCCCAACACTAACTGCTTTAAATCCAAACCTTTCTACATTTTCTTCAAAGTAAAACCAGGAGGAAACATGTAACAAGTATCAGGAATAGAGGAACAACCTACCCCTCCATAGATAGCTCCTCTAGCTGCTCCATGGTGAGGCCCATTTTCTGAGGGAACGCTGTTATTTTGTTGAAGGAGAGATTGAGCTGCTTTAGCGATGGGCAGCTGACAGCGGGGTCAAAGGTTAGCTCGGGGCCGATGCAGTTCTTGGAGACGTTCAGCACGTTCAGCGCGGGCAGAGACAGAAGCTCCTGTGGAAGGGACCCCAGATGGTTCCCCTGCAGGTCCAGTCGAGTCAGGCTCCTCAAACTCTGCACCAAATCACAGGACAACGGGCATTATCTTCTCTCGGTCCGCCCCTTAAAAGGTGGACTGGACACAACCAAGTCCTATTGGACCTCTGGGCATAAACAGGCCAGGTCCTAATTCATGCAGATGACATTGGAATATGGTAACAAAGTGTGTGTGTGTTTGTTGACCTGAAGGTGTGAATATAATGCAACAGAGAGACAAAAAAGAGAAAAGAGTATCTGTGGACACAGCCAGAGAGTTTTACACGGAGCATTACTTGGCAGATTGCGGATGGGAACTCCAGCAGACTGTTGTGGCTCAGGTCCAGGCGGAGGAGGTGCCCCAGCTGATGCTGGACGAAGATGTCGTCCAGTAGACAGGACAGGGAGTCCAACTCGTTCCCCGACAAATCCAACAGGCGGATCCGCTCCCTCTCTTTGGGCAAGGCTGTAGAGTTCTCACCAGAACCCAGCACTGATGAGCAGAAAACATCATTTTTACCCAAAAGTTAGCTTTATTTATCCTTCTTATTATTATTATTCCTAATCATCATATCCATCTGCATCAGTTCAGAATTTTTAAAGCTTGAATATACAAAAATTGTCAATTTTTTTTAAGAACACACGAGAACATGCAGTGACAGAATGTGAATGAAACAAGGCTGAAGAGAAACTGATGCACTAACATTTCTGACTGGAGACGCTCCTTCCAAATCTCCTCTGTACGGGTTCGCTGCCCTCGCTTTCAGTTTGTCCGCTCTAAACAGAAGACAAAGGACAGCAGAGCTGAGTGAGGAGTGTTTGGTGCTGACAGTCACTTGTAAGACGCTTTAACCCGCTCTCTTTACCTCCGCGCTGGCGTGTCTGCGTCGTCCCTGCTTCCGTTTGAACGACTCACCCCGCAGCTCCTCTGCTGAGTTGTTGTAGGATTTTAGAGATAGAGGGCCTGACACTGAATCACTTCCTGACAAAAGAAAACAACAAAAAACAAAACAACTGATTTTACAGGATTATCACAAAACTAAAAAAGAAGAAAAAACAAATGTCCATAGGGGGAAATTATACAAACAGAAACGTTTTATGATAAACAACTTCAAAGCTTTAATCATTCTCAACAAATATGGCCTGAAAGATGTTCATTTGAAGCTGCAGTGTTACTGAGATGAGAAACGTTCAAATGATTTTAAACTAAAATAGCTATCAGTCTTTTTTGGCTCTTTAACATAATGGAGAAAGGAAAAAAAGACCAATATAAATACATATACTTTCAATTTTTCAATTCAATTTTATGTACTGTAAAATGGTGCCATAAACTAACAAAAAGCACAATTATTTTAAAAAGATGTCACAAAACAGAGGGAAATTAAATTAATGATGGTGCAATACAAATCTATTGCAATACAAATCTATTAATTTAATATGAACAAAGTGTAACAGGTTTGAGCAATCTAGGTGTCTAAATACCAAGAAACGTCATTCCTGTATATAAGGCCAATCCAGAGTTTGTACTGTAATAATTGCCATAAAAGTCAGCATTCAGAATCCTGAATAGTTCTCTAGGATTATTGAAAGACATCCCAAAGCTCTTATTTGGATGCTGGCTGCCTTTGTTCCATTCTCTGTCAATATAATCCTGCACTGCTTCAGTAATGCTAAAGTCTTGGTAGAATCCCCCCACCCCCCCTTACAGACCTGTTACCACTGTTGTCAGCACACTTTTTGGGGCGACGTAGCATTTATCAGCCCTCGTTCAGGTATGCCTGCTGAATGTTTTCTTTTATGTCTCACACTTCTTTTTTTGTGCAGTTTCCAAGAATGAATTTGGAACAGGTTTCCATCTGAGCCTTATTTGGCTTCTAAGCCCTATTTGGCTCATAATTCATCTGGAATCACTGCTGTGAAAATATATTTTATATATGTCTTCTTTGATAGTTTTTGTGCATGCAACTTAAAATAAAACAAACAGGAGAAAATCATATGTATTTGCAACGGTCGCCTGGCAACAAATGGTAAAAGACACAGTTTGAAATGGTTTTCGTCTATTTGCTAAGTGTAGAAAAGAGAGTAAAAACAGCCAACGTCCAAAGAGAGAACTTTGAAAGACTTGGGGCACGTGGAGACAGAATATAAAGAAAAGAGGGTGGGACTTTGGCAGAGTGCTGTAAAACCGTATCGGAGGAAATTCCTCGATGTGCAACAAATTACACAAATGCTCAGCATCATGGGTCAGATGTTAATCTAAGCAGCTGAAAAATGTATGAAAACCAAAATGACACGCGTGTCAGCTTTGTTTTTGAGAACAGTGGGAGCCCGGCGAGGAGATGATATTGGTGTGTGGCTCTTTACGTCTGAGGTATGCCTGTGTGAACCTCTCGTTGGATTGCATTTCCACAAATGGGTCAAACCCCACAGCAACCCGACGGACCTGGGAACCAGACGCCACTCCCACTATTTACCGTCACTCTCCATGTCGTCGCAGAGGAACAGGCAGTCCTCCGCCGACACCATGCTGAAGCTGGAGTCGTCGCTCTCGTCAGAAATGTAGCCAGAGGTCAGACACTGGTCAGACATCAGTCTGGAAAAGCAGTTGATGCTCTTTGACCTCTGCAAAGACTGAATGTACCTCGCTAGACTCATCCCTTTACCTTGAAAAGATAAAACAAACAAGCTGTTAAGAGCTTGGATTGACGTTTTTTATTCTTAGAAACTAATTCTGGAGAAGCATCGAATCCTGCTTACTGTTGCTGGCTCGCAGACTGTGACCTCTGGCTTTTTCGGCCAGCAGGGGGCTCAGCCAGGCGGCGTCCAGGCGGCCCAGGCGGAAGCCGCCCAGGCAGAGAGCGGCGTTGTTCAGGTCCAGGCCGAGGCGGGCCAGCAGCTGGATGACGGCGGGCCCGTCGCCCCTCCTCACGCTGACGGTCAGGGCCCGCCGGACGTGCTGCTCCTGGGCCCCGCGGCTGAGCAGCAGCTCCACCAGCTCCAGGGGGCCGCCTCTCTCACACACCTGGACAGTCAGCAGCAGCTTCTCTTAGTTCACAACGGGGTTTCCCCAAATCGTTTCCCCCAGGCGCCAGACTATGTCACGCTCACAGAGGAAAATACCAAAATACACACATATTCACTCACCCGTTTAAAAAAATTTAACTCACAGGCCACAGGTGTAAAACACTAAGCCAGTCACTTGTGAAAGAATTATTTGCTCTCAATTGGATGGAAGAGTCTGACACTTATGGTGCCAAGTGTTAAGTTCGGTGGTGTGGGGTTGTTTTTTGGGAGTAAGTATTGGCCCCTTTGCCCCAGTAAAAGGAACTCTAAAGATTTTGGACAAATCTATGCTCCAAACTTTGTGGGAAAGGTTTCCTTCCTCTTCCTCTTCTAAATATATATTTTCTATTTGATACCAATTTGATACTATCAAACTTTAAAGTAGGCTATCCAAAACAAAAAAGTTGGAAGATTTATTTGTGTTTTTACTGATTAATTTTTTAATTTTCGGCAAAATCCCAAACTTTATATTTAAGAATTTTTATCAAATGCAAAAATTTTTACTCTTCTTGATACTGTGTTGGCCAATAACAGAACCGGCTTTAATGATGATTTCTTGGCTTTATTTTCCAATGGCCATGGCACACTTTTAAATCAGCTGAGCATCAAAGGTGCCTCTCTGATTCATTTGCAGTGGGTTGACATTAATACTGGAAGCATGTCCTGTTAAAATGCCACCTTACATTTCTGGTGGTCCAGAAACACAAAACTAATCCAAATCTGTAAATCTCACCTGAACAAAGTCCATTCTGTCCACTGATAAACAATGATAATCTGATTTACAAGGAACTCTTAGGTTATCTGTGTGCTTTCACTTGGAGGTTAGACATAAAGTTTATGGTGTAAAAAACACAGTAGCGTGAAAAAGGTATCACTTCACTATAGATGCCGTTTGGGGTTCCCTGGTTTAGAAGTTTCCACAAAATCTCCGCTCGAAAAATGACCTGATTCTGCTCTTTGGCACACGAAGATTCTAAGAATTTCAACACCACAAGTTAAAGTCCATCTCTACATATCTACTTTATTGGCAATAAATGTGGCCCCTAACAGCCCTGTTTGACAAAGGAGCTGTCTTTCGTTCATTTTCCCATTACAGTGTCTGGCTGCTCTACATGCTGATTTGTAGCTAGCAGGTTGTCCAGAAACTGCTTTATTGAAGCGACTGTATTCTTTTCTGGTTGTTTGCAGAAATCCTTCTCTGAGATGAGAACTCAACCGCTGTTCCCCTTCATATAGCTCACATTTTGGGACATTTGGAAGGGTGCAGTCTCCCCTCTTTTCCCAGTGTCTTTCTCATGGTTCCCAGAGATAGAATTAATGTGAAAAAAAAACATATTTTATGCTCTAAACCGGGATGGGTCCATGTTTTCTATTAATCTTTTAAGGAGTTTTTTTTCAATGCGACTGAAGTCTCAATACTATCTGCTGCTGTGTTCACTCAAACGTCCAACTCTACAGACCATTCAGTAGATTTTAATTTGATTTTCTGCTGAGTGACTACATGAAAAGTACAATAAAATCTGGTAAGAACAATTCACCCTTTTCTTCCATTTGCAAAGTCAAACTTGTTTAAACCATATCTGTCTTCCTGCTTCAAACTCATTTCCTATTCTGCAGCTCTTTCAGGGAATTTCCTTAAAGAATAAAGGGAAATAAAAAAAAGACTCCAACTTCTCACCTGATAAATAAGAGACTCTGTTTTTGACTTCCTGTTGATGTCTGCGCCCATCTCCATCAGGCACTCGGCCATGGTGGTGTCTCCGTCCAGGCAGGCTTTTTCCAGCATGCTGTAGTGCAGCTCAGAGTCGCACCACATCTTGGACAGAGCCACGCACATCGACTTCCGCAGCTGGCAGACAGACAGACATTACAGACGCCGTTCCTCATCCTCTATATTCACCGATTTTTTATTTAAACATCCCAAACAGCAAAACTCACTCAATCATCTTTAGATGTATTAAATGTAGTTCTGTGTGCTTACAGAGCTGCGTTACGGACGGATTGGAGGATCGGTGCTTAACAAATTCATTAGCTCACATAAGTCTTAGATTTATTTATTTTTTGCCTTATAAATCATCCTTTTTTACATACAATGGCCCATTATCTTTTGTACGGCCTCCTTTGATCTGGATGACAGATGTTTGCAAGCCTCAGCAATGCTTCTGAATAGCTATTTTTCGTTTAATGCTTTCTTAGATCACAATCTGCTTATGGGACTTCAGAGGAGTTTTAATCTGGAAATATTAAACCTAACCTTAACATCAGTCTCTGCTCCTTCAGATCTTGATGTGTGTGATGTGCTTCAATTATTAACTTTTGTTTCTTGCCTTTTTCCTGGTTCATTTTGGAGATCATGCTTTGCCACAGACTCCAAAGCATACTTGCCCACACTGAGAGCATGTTTTGTATCAGACACCATCCAGCATCATAATATGTTCTCAGACTCTCCTACCCTCAGTGAGCCCTTGATGTTTAAGCATTTTGAGCTCATTAGGACTTTGAATCTAATTCCCCCTTTCATCCCCAAATACTGGCCAACCCACTGGGCTTATCTGAGAGGTCAGAAATTCATCAAGGAGAACGTTCAATGAATAAAACTATTCATTTATTACTTTTTCACATATAGTTGAAAAATGTAAACTGTATATTTTTAAATTAACTAATAACACTATGTTTGTGTTGAAAATAAAAATGTGACCGTCTCCATATTGATCTATTAACGGTGACAGAAACAGAAAGTAACTGTAAAGTAACAGCTGCGATGGGCTAATGAATTTGTTAAGCGCTGCGTATTCTTTTGGCTGTTGTCAAAAGGCTGAGACTCACAGGGCTGATGCTCTGATCTATCTCCTCTCTCAGACGGTGGAAGATGTGCCTGTCGAAGTCCTCTCTCTGCAGTTCGGCGGCCGCTCCCGAGCAGGCGTCCAGCATCCTCAGCGCCACCTGAATACACTGCAGGCAGGAATCAGAACCAGAGACAGATCAGATGTCAGCTGGTCCCACTGACACGTACTGTTGGATAAAAATCACACTAATTTGCCACAAAGGGCTTTTTGATGCTGATATGGCCTGAAATCTCTCATAGTAAGTCAAACTCAAAGGCTTGCCTTCGCAAACACGTCCTGGGTATTTTTAAAACTCAGCCTACACTTAAGGTTTCTGTTTTTACGAATTTCAGAAAATGACGCACGTTTAGGAAATATTGGAAACTTGAAGTTTGATTTCAATCACATGATGAAAGCAAATTTTTTGCCAACTTTTTAAAACCAAATCATTTGGCGAGCTAAAGGTAAAAGGTAAAAATTATTTAGGTATGATTTATGTGTAATACCCATCTTTTTCATATATAAGTAGCAATATAAATATTAATTCTAATGTTTTTTTTAAGGAAGATTATACATTCAATCATCTGATCTATATTTGTGATGAGCAGGGGCAGAATCCATTCTGACACTTTATCACCTGATTCTCACTTCATTCACGGGTCAGATCCAAACGCTGTGCTCACCTTCAGCAGCATCTCCGAGTCCTCTCTGTACTGGACGAGAGAGGTGACCACCACAGAGGCCAGGACAGGCACGATCATCCTGGACAGCTTCTTTTTGGACACCAGGTAGTGGAGCAGCGTCAGACCCCAGTAGTGTATCTCTGGGGGAAAACAGGGTGGTTTCAGACGTAAGAACGCTGGAATGTTCTCTCGCCCCTCCATCCTCCCTCTGAGGATCCCAGTTTGAGCAGAAATGATGTGTCATTTGTCAGGTTAGAGCCGGGTAGTGCGCCCCCAAACTCCAAATCATAAATTTGAAAGAGAGGGAGAATAGAGAGATATTTAGGAAACTGCCTAAACATCAGTGCCTAAGCAAACTTGTCCTCCTTTCAGTGTTGGCTGAGACGTGTGAATAAATAAGTAAATGTGACAGTCTGAGCCACGTCCTTTGACAATAAAAAAAACTAGTAGTTTGGTTTTGTACCTCGTTCCTGTGGGAACATTTGTAGTGTATGAAGCACGGTGTCTATCGCCCCCTGCTGGCACAGCAGGTCCACTGCACCGGAGCACTCAGCCAGGGTGGACAGCACCTTCAGACCACACCTCTGCAAGGTGGAACTGCGAATAAACTGCAAACACACACATACACACACAGACAACCTCTTGTTAGTAGATATTTCCATTTACATGTAATTTATTTATTTATATGCAGTTATGTTGGGCCCTCCTGGTTTCAACCCTTTCTGAGGGCAAAAACACGTCAGCCATTCATTCATAACTGTGTGTAAACCAGCAAATTCTTTGTGGAAATGTAATTAAGTTCCTTTCCATGTTCTGCTTACAGAGCAACCCACTGTAAAATGCCTGTGATGAATAGAAAGGCTGTACAGAGAACTAATGATCAGAGTATAAACTGCCTGGATAACTGTACAGTGCTTCTTTTCTTTTAACAACAAAAAGAACAAGCAAACATCATTCACTCTCTACCATGACCCATTTCTATCTTATTGTGTCAGAGGAGACAAAATTTTAAATAAAGTTTAAAAAACAAAGCGCTTTGGGTGTATTCATACCCTGTTGAGAACCTCCAGGTAGAGAGTGTGAGCCCCCTCCACCACACACTGGTTTTTCAGCACCCGCAGAGAAACGTCGGCCATGTCAGGATCCACCACCGAGGAGCCGTGCTCCCTCAAACTCCGGTCTGGAAATTCCCACGCGGCCAGGAAGCCAGCATCGGGACAAAGAGGCGAGAAAACATGCACACAGACAAAACCACTTTGTTGTCAGCCGCTAATCGAATTAGGACTGTTACATATGTGCTGATGCTGGACGCAAAGAACTCCATGAACTCATTTTCAGAGAAATCTCAGCAGAGGAAACTGCTGCACCCGAATGGAAAATGCCCCCTTCATGCGCTGTCTCATAACGCTGGAAAAGGGACGGAGGGGTGCAGTTTGTGCTACCACCTGCACACTACATAAGACGCTAAAGTCCCCACACAAACACTCGTGTCACTGATTTCCTGAAACACTGGCACCCTCGTATAAGTGTTGCGACAGCAGTGTTTCTCTGAACTGCCATGTTGAGATATTACTCCAAATTGAATTGGGGGAAGAACCATTTGGATACTTGGTTGAATTTTAGCCAATTCAGACTTTAACCCTGTCTAATATAAAGAACTGTATTTATTTCTAGTTGCACAGTGCCCTTCATTTGTCTATATTTAGTTGCCACAATTATTTTCAATCTTTTAAAGTGTTTCTAAAGCCAAGGAACACTGATCTGCATTATTTAAGCATCGTGGGAGGCACTTAACTCGCTGGATAACCCAGTTTGGTATCAACACATAACAAGTAACCCACCGAAAAATAAAAAACAGCTTTCAATTTTTTTCATCCTCTCACAAAGAGAACTCTTTGGTGTGAACACTGCTTTTCGATGATTTGCTGAGACTATTTCCCCTTTCAGAGATCAGAGCAGCTGTTTGCAGCTGGATGTCCCTTTCTGCTCAACAACAACTCCGGGTTTGACTCACACAGCAGAAACATCACAAGTCTGTTGTGAGAAAAGCAAACTTTTCAGAGGATGAACAAAGGTCTCAATCGTTATCTGCTGTGATAATACCGCGACATGCATGTTATTTCACATTACACGCTTCTCTGAATATGTGTCAGTACAAAACTTGAGTACATTCTCTGTCTCTTTTCCGGAACCAATTTCAATCAGCGGCATGAGACAGGTCAGGACTCGGGCCATGCATTCCCATTACAGAAATGAGCTGTAGTGGAGTCCACTTTTTGATGAGGCAACTTCCAAAGTTACATCATTGTCTGTTTTTTATAAAAACTTCTTAAAAACTAATTTCTTTGTCACAATGTAAGATGTGGATTTAAGTTTGAACTTTAAAAAAAAAATCTATTACATGCGTATGTTAAAGTGTTTTGGATTTTAGTATTCTATGTTTTTAAATCTATATGTTTTTACATATTCTGTACAGTGCTTTGGTCCTTTGTGGGACATAAAGTGCTTTAGAAATAAAGCAGGATGGGAGTAGCGCGCTGCTAACAGCCAAACCGAGATAAGAGAGGAGCTTGGAGCTTACCCGGGCAAAGGAAAACCAGGCTGGCTTGCAGTGCCTCTAGTTGAACCTCCAGCTGGAAGTTGTGGACTTTCATGGTGCTGAGAATTTGACTCATGGCCATGCTCAGCTCATCCAGGTTGGCAGTCCTGGTGACATTTCAAATTAAACTGATGACCAATGAAAGACCTGATCTATCAGGGCTGTAGCTTTGATTGGTCCTTTTTAGATATATAACTTGACATTAACAATTAAAAGGTTGTGTTTGATGTCTCATTTAATTAATACATGTTCTCAAAATTGGGAACAAAACAACAAAACATCTACTTTTTTCGGTTGTTTTAACACTTAAACAACACACTCTTATTTAAAAGAACTGCAAATTTGCTTTTCCAAATCCATTCGTCTTTTTTTAATCACTTTGATTTATTTATGGCTACATTACTCATCTGTGGGTATAAAACATAAAAGGACGATGTGTGTCATTATTCATTTGTAAATGCTGAGATGAATGGAGACAGTGCTGGTTCCTACCTTCCCTGGAAGAGAAGCTTTAGAAGCTTGCAGGCGCTGATGGAAACTTCAGCCGAGGCTGAATGTCTCCTCATCATCTCCACCAGGTTCACGTGGAGGCCGCTCGACAGCAGCAGGGAGCTCATTCTACCTGCAAACCAAGCAGAGATGTCTATGTTGTCACGTCTGGGGGGATTTTTGGTGTTTTGTCCTGTCTCCATGGTTGTTTTGTCATTTCCTGTTTTATTTTGTAAGGTACATCCCCTTGTTTCAGGTCTCTTGCACTTCCCTGTGTGTCACATGTCTGCTTGTCTTCCCTAATCACCTATTGTGTTCCCCTGGTGTCATGGTTTCCTAGAAGTATGTATATGTTTGTATTTTATTTTGAAGCCTCAAGAACCAGAAGGGCGGTGCAGCACAGCTGCACCTGGTTATGCTGATCAGGAGCAGAAGCTATTTAAGGAGCTGGCTGTGATTCATTCCTCGCCTGAGTGTCAACCTAAGCGGTACCTTGAGCTCATAAAATGTCTTGACTTCCTAAGTGCTTTTCATGCAAATAACCTTTTTCGCATCTTCCAGTGGTCTCCTTGCGGCATCCAGCTCAGCCCCTCCAGCAGCCTGCTACCCTTTGCCAGGCCTCCATCAACCTGGGACCCAGCCTGCCACCATTTCTCAGCCCTCCACAACTCACTCTCCTGCAGCACCACAGTACCCCGTTTCAATAAATCTGTTCAAAGGTCTCTGGTCTCCTGAGTGGCTACTGCATGTGGGTCAGAATGCTCCCTTGTCCCGTGACACCTGGGGTTCCCTTTCCCTAATGTGTTTAAATAGTCCTCGTTTCCCCTTGTCTTGTGCCAGTGTCTTTCCTATCTATGACTTTACTGAGCATTACCTTATCCTCACCCCTTGTATAACCTCGTAAGAGTGATTTTGCTTTTGATCCTCCTTGTCATTTTGTTAACCCAATCTCGTTTTTGCCTCATAAGAGTGATTTAGATTTCATACTTTGTTCCTAGTTTTGGTCTACTTTGTTTCCACTCTTTGAGAGTGCGCCTTGAGTTCGATAAAACCTTTTTGAACCACCTCTCTGCATCTGAGTCCTGCCTCGAAGTCCAGACTTGACATCTGTCACAGGACGAGGATCCACGATAAATGCTTGAGGCTTTATAGAGTCCTTTGTTTTGCTCCTCAATATAAAGCTATTACCTCCACAGATAACGTGTCCTCCGGGGATTTTATCACCATTACGTCAAAGCAGAGAGAGCGAGACGAGAAACCTATCGTATGTGCACATGTAGGAGACACGTGCACTGAGGAAGACTCACTGTTGTTTGTGATGAGTGTGCCGATGGCACTGGTGGCAGCGATGAAGACGCTGGGAGACGAGGAGTGCAGCAGCATGGCTGCCATCAACTGTCTGTGAACGGGAGTCCTGAAAGACAAGCATCCATCCGGTGGGTTTGAGCAGCAGCAGGCATGTGAAGAAGACTCTCTGCCCCGGCGTACCTCTCATCCTGCTCCTCCTCCGACGGGTCCACCGGGGCCCCGTGCAGCAGCAGGTTGTGGATGGCCCAGCTTGCAGCTTCCTGGGTAGCGAGGAAGTCCACACAGGTTGAAAACATCGGACTTCTGACAGGCTCCGGCCTAAAACGGAGCAGGACTGACCTGAACGGCCGGCTCGGCGGCGTGGAGTTCCAGGGCTGTGCAGCAGTCCTCCATCCAGCCCAGACCCATGTAGTCCACCTCCTCCTTCCCCCTGTTCTCTGCCTCCTCTCCCTCCTCCAGGCCCTGCTCGGCCACCGCTTTGTTCTCAACGATGGTCGCCGCTGCCAGGGGACGAGATCAACTCTGCATTTCAGAGTAGGCTTAAGACTTTCCTTTATGATAGAGCTTATAGTTAGGGTGAGTCCACCCTTAGTTATGCTGCCATAGGCCTAGACTGCCGGGGGATTTCCCATGATGCACCGAGCTCCCCTCTCTTTTCTCTCTCTCCCTCTCAGTGCAACCTCATTCCATTAATGCATGTTTCTAACTGGACTTTTTCCCTTTGCCGTAGCCGTGTGCTTTCTTGTCCCTCTCCTCTCTCCTCCTATCACTTCCTGCAGGTGTTCCTGGCTCTTGAGCTGTGGAGTCTGGATCTGTGTTAGGGAGCCACTTGCCTGTGTCACCTAGTGCTCGCTCTTCGTGGGAATTGTTGGGCTTATGCAAATAACTCTTGTTATATTTCTATAACAACAGAGCAGGTCAGACTTACTCTGTTGTTATAGAAATATGTGCTGAGAGAGTCTCATCTAACCGTCATGAACATCATGAGCTGCTTTTGAGGCTCCGGTTACATGTGAGCGGCTTCTCCGCCCATCAGTTTTATGTAACCAGTCCAAATCAAGATCATTTGACAACCAAAACAAAGCAACAGAGAGTTTCCATCATTTACGTCTAACTGATATCAGTTTAAAGGCCCATGTTGGGTCATTATGACTCCCTGTTTACATGCTCTCGTAGAAATCTTTCAGAAAATCTTGCTAAACATCAGCCTCAACAGACCCCTGCCCTCTGTTCTTGATCAAGATGATGATTGTTAAAAGTACATGGAGTCTCCATTTAGGTTGACGCGATCTCTCAACGTGGTAAAATCGAACTCTTTTTCATGGGGACAAATCAGTAGCATAGCACCAACTGTTTGAGCTGCCTGTAGCAAAAACCTGAATACTTGCTGGGTCAGGTTGTACAGCACTTAACCTTTACATAGGGAGGAAAAGGCTTGCAGTTGTTCTGAGGCTTTTTTGGGTCATAATCTCGGCTGATCTCAGAAGTAGTTTTAAGTTTTGAGTTTAAAAAAAAAAAATCCTCCTGTTTTTTTAGGCAGCTTCTGAGCAGACTGGACTTTTTATAGTTAAAACAGCCGAGTTTTTCCTCTTATTGAATGAATAAAACGTATTAATTCAATGTATTACAATCAATGCTTATGCAACAAAGGTGCATGCGTGCCATCAACTTATCAGTTCTTTTTTATGTAACTTCACTATGAATTTCCAGCAGAAAAAAAGATGGTGACGGTATATGTTTGACTCTGTTTGTGAAAAAATGTGGTTCATTTTGCACAATTTTTTATTTCACTCTTCACATAATTCCTAAAATAATTGCTATGCTCAAGAAGGGCAACTACTTGGGTCTAATTTGCGGCAGTATGGCCAATCCTTCAGTTTGAGCACAAACAGGTGAGTTGTTTGTGAAAGTGCGCCCTTACTCAGGTCAGCGAGGCAGGAGAGGGCGGCGGACTGCAGTGTGGCGTTATCAGGGAAAGTCTGACAAGCTCTCACAGCCACTCTCTGGACTCCATTAAGCACCAGGATGTTGTAGTAACTCTCTGAAAGACAACACGGTTATGGGAGAAAGGACACGGCCAAAGTGGAGGAAGCAGTGGCAGAAAGCCCTTGGCTCCATTAGAATGCCCATGGCTGAGCCCCCTCTGCCCTCATCTAACCTGATGTCAGCCTCCTGATCAGGCAGCAGCCCGTCTCCTGCAGCTCCTCCACCTCCGGGAAGGCGTCCATGGCAGCGATGACCGCGCTATAACATCGAGTACCCCCCGACATCAGAACCTCTACGTTACTGGCTGAGGAAGAAAAGGACTTGAACTCAAAAATGCTCAGTTTGAAAGACATTTATGTAAAAGACGACAAAAAAATTCCTTTGCGAAAGCCTTAAGGAAGAAGTTTGTGAAGTTTTTTTGTTTTGTTTAAGCGACTTAACTCCCACCTATGAATAATTCAGGCATTAATAATAATGAGTGTTATATATACACAGTTCAGCTAAGCATCAATTTTAGATGTTATCTCACAACTTTATCGATTCTAGAAGCCTTTTATAGTTCCATCTATAATATCTACTAAAGATTAAATAAAAAGCATTTTGGTACCAGTGAGGTGTTTCCCAAAGAACTTTTAATGTGGTCTGACATCATTTCGGAGGACAAAATGAGAAGTGGTAGGGCTCTTACCAAATATTGTCTGTCTAGTTCATTGTTTGCATTGTGTAAACATTTTCCAGGCGACACACAAAGAAACTGGTGGCCTGAGACTTTTTGCTCAGTACTTCATAGTCTGAACGGCACATATGAGCCACTTACTTGTATTAAGTTCTTCTTGTCTTCGTTTTCGTTAGTCATGCTTTTTGTTTTCTTTCTCTGAGGACGGCTTGCAGTTGGCAGCCGAAACATGTCAACAAGGTAAAAACATTCTTGTGGATTACTATTGTCTGACCCAAAGAAAACAAAAAGCATGACATATGAGCCAATCATCACTCTCAAAGACACTTAGGCAACAGTGATATAAAGATAAAAAGTGAGGAAAGCGGGTCAGAAAAAGAGCCTCCACACCCCGTGACTGTGTTGAATCCCACATCCGAGAAGGCTACGGACATTCCACTGGAGCTAATTTTCTTGACGGGAACTTTTTCATGTCCACTTCTGCACTTTGTTTTCAGGGCCAGTTCCAATTCTTGTAAAAAAAAATCAGCCAACTGAGCAAATTTATTTCTAGATTTTTTTAAGATTCATTATTGAAAAGCAAAATAAAATATAGAAAATATTTTTAAAGATAGTAAAAATGTGTTTAATTCATTTAACTCATTATCGCTCAGCTAAAGAATTAGGAATAAATAACTATCCTGTTCATATAACCTCATATCTGCATGACATATACATTTCTTGAAAGAATTAGCTCTCTTCGATTTTTGAATATTTGTTTTTACCCCAAATAACTTACTTCAAAATAATTTCTTGTAAAAATCAGTTTCTTCGGTAAAACAAGTTCATATCAAAACAGAATAATGTAGCCCTTCTGCTAAAATGATTTGGACTTCCTGCTTTCTAATAATTTGAGGATAAAAGAATGTCTTTAAAAATATGACAGATTACGTCATTCCAGTTATCGTGTTAACAACAAAGATGGACAAAAGACACATAGTATACAGTGTCCACTGTGTTCCACATCACGAGGGAATTTCTGTGAAAATGTGACGTCCTTCTTTCTCCCAGCTTTGATACTGGCCTAGAAATAGTTGTTATAATAAGGCAGCAAAACGTCATCCATTATTTATGGCATATGGTGTAATCTGATTTAAATCGAGAGCAAAACAGCATAACTGGTGCCATGACTGTTTGGTGTTGTGCCTTGAGACTGAATGTTGAAGCTGAAAAGCTCTCCCTTGATGACAGTGTAGCACCTTAGCGTGTAGCAAAGAGAACAAGTGAAGCGAAAAAGAAATCAGGCTCGTGGGGGGAGTTTCTCATTGTTGTGATGTTTTCAGGTCTTACCGGGGCGAGCCAGGGGAAGCAGGACTTTCATAGCAGGCAGGAGCAGCTCTGGGCTGTCCAGGAACTTCTGCAAAGCAGAGAGTACCACCACATGGTCTTGGTTCTCCACAAATTCCACAAGGTGGTCATCACTCACTGGAAACAAACACACAAAACATAGAATGGGCTGCTGTACACACATGCACATATGGAGAGATTTTAGTGTAAAGCTATCTTGAATTAAGCTATGCTAAGTTTTATTTCCTCGGCATGCTACATGCAATTACTTATGAGGCTTTGAGATAATAGGAGGGGATGACATGCATATTAATGTGGAAGCAGCAGAAATGTCAACAATCAACAGTGTTATCATATTCGTATGGTGGCATTTTCTGTGCTTTGAAAGGGCTTAATCTGCTTTCAAAGCTCATATTTAGTCAAATGAATTTGATTCTAATGTAGCAGTATGGCGTTATATCTGCTCCCAAACTCCCAGAAATTCTAAATACTGGATAAACCAGAACTTTTAAACTCTGAATGTTTATTGGTCATATGAAGTTTTAGTGCCCCAGAGTGAAAGACCTTGAATGGTAGACATACAGAATGTTTGTAGGAAGTTTACTGTGTACTTTACTTGCTGAACTGAGGTCAAGCTGTCAAAGCAAAAACACACTCCAACAGGAAAGCCTCGCTCATATTTAAATAAAATATCTATAAAATTTTTTATAAAATAATATATTTATAAAAATTCCCTCTACAACATCCTGGCAGGATGGAAGAGGAGCTGCACTACACTGCAGGACAGAGAGATTCAGGAGGTCCTTCTCCGCACCAACCATAATGCTTTTTTACATTGACTGCTGACATTTTCTTGTCACATTTATTCTATTTTGTTCTATAAATTTGTATTGTTCTGACTAAATATATTCATTCTGAGCTAAATGACCATTGGATTTTCCCTCAGGGAAATGAATAAAGTAGTTTCTATTCTACTCTAGTGTAATCTATTTTTATGTGAAACGTTTAGAATAACAAGAGTGAGTCCCCACCTCTATCCAGCAGTAGCAGCAGAGCTTCACAGCCTTGGAGTTGCACTTCCTCGCTCGCGGGGAACGTCTTCATCGCCTGCACCAACAGGCCAAATACATCCTCCTCCTCCTCCAACACCAGCAGAGGAATCATGTCTGTCCAACAACGTTCAAGAAAAATGCAAAGTACAGCTCAAAATTTGAACAGTTTCAATCAGTGAACACTATCTCTTTCTAATGTCGACTTATTTGAATTCTCAAGTCGACACACGTTTTACAGGTAAGCAAAGGGACAGTGGTTATGTATCAAAAAGGTAAGAAACTGTTTGAAATTATTCATATGGAAGAAATTTGATAGTTGTTCATACTCCATTTTTTAGATGAGAAACATCTTAAAGGCTTCCTTTTCAACAAAAAGAAATGTTTTTGTTAAAAAGGAAGTTCAGCTCAGTTAATCTTTAAGCAGAAAACCTACAATCACACAGGTATGACAGTGTACTCCACCAACAAGAACATTCATTATGTAATAACAGTGAGTAGTTTCTTAAATCTTTTTAAATTTAGCCTGTTGTTGGGTTGATTACAGTGTCACAACCGGCCACTGACATAGGAATTGAAGTGTGTCTGTATACAATTGCATATATACACACAAGATACCACTTATCTAATCCAGATACACCTTGAAACATCTCTGGAGTGGACATGTACCTGATCTGAGCAGGAGAGCCAGCACTCTAAGTCCAACCATGACCACCCCACAGTCTTTGCTGTACTGGGATAGCACCTTCAGGACCTGCCTGAAAGTCACACCAAAACACAAAGACATTTCACAGGGTTGTAAAGTCATGTCAATACAAAGAAATTATAATAATAACTATATTCAATATTTAAACAAATATTCAAAATTGTTTTCATCAAATTAAGTTCTTCGTGTTCATTTAAAAGCTTATGTTTTACAGCTGATCTTTTAAAACACCTTTGACAGGGCCGCAGCCGTAGCCTAATGGCTAGAGCGGGCGGCCCATATACAGAGCCTGTGCTCGTAAGCGGGTGGCCGTGGGTTCGAATCCGGCCCACGGCCCTTTCCCGCAGGTCTCCCCCTCTCTATATATGCCCCCTTTCCTGTCAACCTACTGTCATTAAAGGCCACTAGAGCCAAAAAAATCTAAAAAAAAACAACAAAAAAAACACCTTTGACAAGTTGACTGATGCTTTGAATTGTTTGGAAAAATGCTAGACAAAAGGCAGAGTAGTATTCTATCTCATCAAACAATAGGACCTAAATTTTCTTATAGTCTTTAGGAAGTGAAATCTGTATTTAGCTAATTGATTTTGTTCCTGAAACTTAATTGTAATCCATTGATAAGAAGTACAAACGACTAACTTAACCTTGCTGATGTCTGATTGCCTTAAAGCTATGAGTGATTCTACCCACTAAAAATGAGGAAAATACGTAATAACACAGCCATAACATTAATATGATCAGTGATTTGTTTTAACCCTTAAATCACTGATTCTGTCACCTCGAAGAACTGTAGTCTGTAAAAATAGACTAAGAGGCAGAGCCTTTCAGTTATCAAGTCCCTATCTGTCAGGTGCTTCATGACTAAAACTAAACTAGCTGTTAACATTATGACATGTCAGAATGGGTGCATCTCTGTGGAATGACTTGAATATATCCGTAGGAGGATCAGTGTTTTCACTTACTGGTGCACAGCCAGTATCTCCCACTCCTTAGCCTCCTGCAGGGGTTTAGTTAGCTGCTCCAAAGTGCTGGGGCATATTTCAATCAGGTGACACAACAGAGACCAGCCCTCCTGTAGACACAGAAACACACACCTTACAGCAAATCAGTCACAATAAACCCAAAAGTGATAATGACATGCGAAATATAAGAAACGAGAAGTTCCGTTAGCACTTCATCTCCCTGACAAAGGGTATGTCAACAGGCAGAAACTTGAAAAGAGCAGCCTGTTATGACTATGCCCACATACAGCATGAGTCTCACTATCTTGATAGTAAATTTCTGAGATCTCACCTCTGATAAGCCAATGACAACAACACACACAATGGATCAGGCATAGACAAATGCCTTTTAACTCCACTGAGCAGAGTATTTTAGCAGACAAGGTCTATGCAACTGCTTTATGAAGGAAAACTATTGATGCTCTATTCTAAGCTTTAGAAAGACAAATACTTGCAAAGCATATGAAAATCTTATCTTAGTGATGAAAGGACATGGCAGACTACCTGCTGGACTCTCCTGCTGCTGCTGTGAGTGGACAGCACCACCATGAGGGGGACGTGGACATTTTTATCTTCAAACAAATCGGCTGCTGCAACAAAAGACACCATGAGTCAGTTTTTCACCAAGGCATTTACTGATTCTTTTCCAGCTGCGATTGCCACTTTCTGAATACTTTTTATTGCAAAGAGGATGATATATCAAGCTTTTATGATAAAACACATTGATAAATATACTAAATCATACCTGCTTCTGAAGTGTGTAGAGGCTCATAACTCTTTCAGAGAAAGGATAGCAACTATGGATGATTAAGAGTCTCTGAATATATCTTAAACTATTCAAATTCAGCTCTTCCAACAACAACTGCAACTTTAAGTAGCTTACACATTCATGTTCAAGTGTTAGTCCAGTGTCACATAAGTATCCATTGCATGGCACAGATTTCCCTTTAAGCTGCTGCCTAGCAGTAGCCTTTTTACGTCGCTGTGCTGGTGGACAAACTTAATGGAAGCGACTACTTAACGATTTTTGGTTAAATGTGTTAATTAAATTAATTGAATGTTTAATTAAACATCGGCACACCCTTGTCTAAACCCGCGCAACGTTGTCCATGGAAAGTAGGCCTGCATATTATCGGCGGCATGATACACACGCAGCAACGGCACGTCTCTTACCATCGTCTGCGTTCGCCAGGAAAAGCAGATCCTGGATGATTTGAATCAGCGTGCTCAGCTGTCTGTCCTCTTGGGGAGTTTTCAGCCTCACCAAAAGTTTCTTTAGCCTTTCTTCCAATTCCTCCTTGGTAACCATGGTCTTTAAAAAGTAGTTTTCTTGCTTGAAGACTTGACGTGCATTGAGGTCAATCATTGTTCTGTCAAAACCGCAAAAAGGCTTCGGGCGGCCACGCTGCCGGTTACACGAGTGTGGAGACCAAATGACATATTGGTGCCGTACGGTGCTCTATTTGGTTGTTTGGTGCTCTATTACGCCATATTATTAAATATTAGTTACCTCGCAATATGTTACAGTTGCTACAGCAAAGCTATGACAGGCTGTCAACATGGCTAGGGAAGCTGTCAGCTATACGGAGTCTGGTCCCGACGCTGACATCATCGTCCGCGGATAACTTTCTTTTGGAAAAGGTTGTGTTCCTCTTTGTAGAGTCGGAAACTTTCTGTCAACTCTGTGGGAAAGACCAGTGGTTCCTTTATAGCAGGCGTGTTCCTGTTTCCCTATGGTCGCATCATATGACTCCAGTCAGAAAAAAGTACTTCCCTTTTAGAGAAGAGAAGGCACGGACCAGATACCGCGCGCGCTCAGTTAAAGGCAGCGACAACAACTCTAAACTGAAGAGTAATTTCTTCTTTTTGAATGATTTACTCCAAATAGGAGGTGAACAAGCTTTTTATGTGAGCTGTTTCAGCAATTAATTCAAATACATTATTTATCTTTCTTTACATTCTGGGATTAACTCTTTGTCTTTGAGTAAAAAAATAGCTTTTTTAAAATCACGCTAGCCTTTTAAGCACTTCACATTACCGGAGGTTGTTAAACAAATCTCAACCTTTTTTTCTATCTTCACTAGAGTGCCGCCGCTGATTTCTACTGCGTTCCTACTGTTGTTATTACGGTATACACAGCAGAGAATGATCTTGTTATGGACCTGTGGGAGTGCCCGAAAATATCCAAACTAAAGACATTCAAAACATAAATAAGATATTAAATAAGTAAATAATGCTTATTAACAATGTCTTATTCAGCTAAAATGTATGTATTCAGCCTACGTTTTATATTTGTTTTTCTGTTCCCATGTGAACAAGCTGACATAATCTCTCTCTATAGGGGTGACTGATATATTGTATTGGGTGTATTTATATATCCCCTTTTTTTACATACATAATTTTCCATTAACCTAAAAACTGAAACAACCAAACCGGCTAAAAGTCCGGTCATGACTAAATCGGTGCCCTGGGGCTTTAAACATAACACATAGAAACTATACGCTTACTGGGTTTGACCACGTGGCATTTGTCAATCACGTTCTAACTAACTTAATGTACAACAGAACTACATGAATAAAAACTTTATTCGTGCACAAAATGATAATGATATAACAAAACTAGTTTGAACCCTGCCTTAAAGACGCGTCTGTCATCCATGTGTATATCTGCTGTACCAACAAAAGATGTGATTGCTTATTCATATAGAACAGCTTGCTGTCTGCTTCAGTGTGGCTGTAGCAACGCTTGGTCCAGCTCCACTGACGGGGTTTCATGGCATCCGTCCACGGGACTGCCTGCTTTGCGTGGATCACAGCGCCAGAGGTGGAACCTCCTTACGAGCTGGATGGGCGTTCCTCCCCCTCGGGCCATCATATGATTCCTCCACAGCCGGTTCCTGAGTGTTGTGCCGGACATGGCCCGCTGAGGAGCTTCAGAAGAACGATCTCCCCACCCTGTCATCTTTAATAGTCGTTTAGAGGTAAGGTGGGTTCTACTTCCTCCCGGGGGGCGCACACCTGAGCAGCGGTTTAGGTCAACCAAGACAGTTGTGATCAGGCTTTTTGTTCATTGAGTACTTTTTTAAATGTTTAAAGCCAGACAAAAAAAGTTTATTTGCAATAAAAAAAATTTAGAGGTTAATCTAAAAGTTTGTCTTGAGAGACAGAGAGAAAAAACGTGTGTTAATTTCCCCAGGAACCAAAGTTGTTCACAAAAATACATCTATACAGTATGAGGACAGTGGTGCTGGGAAGTGTGTGTGTGTGTGTGTATGTGTGTGTGTGTGCGTCTGTGTGTGTGTGTGCGTGCGCGTCTGTGTGTGAGTCTGTGTGTGAGTTTGTGTGCGTGTGTGTGTATGTGTGTGCGTCTGTGTGTGTGTGCTGATGGGGGGGGCTGGTTTGTGTGGCGGACCGGTGACGTCACGTCAACATGGCAGAACAGGGAACCGCTTCGCTTTCCGAAGGCTTCACAAGTACGCGAGGTCAGTTTACAGCTCTTACAGGGGGCTCTGGTCTCTTTTATCCCAACACGAAACGATACCACACGGCAGTTACGGTTGTGTGGGCTTATTTTGAGTTGTTATCGTCGTCGAGTTTGGGTAAGTAGGTGTCAAAAATCCCAATGCGTCGGCGTGTGCTGACACCTGGACCCGGAGAGATGCTTAATGTTACCTGGAGAATATGGAAAACAACTTAAAAGCGATGTGTCCTCGTGCTTCAGACTCAGTGGCCCGAAAATGTTCTTTTTTAAAATGGCTTTGTGGACGCTTGTTGACACGTGACAGCAGAGACTCTGGAACCAGTCAGCTGACTTGACTCCCACTCGCTCTCTCTCTCTCTCTCTCTCCCTCTCTCTCTCTCTCTCTTTCTCTCAATGTCTAGCGGCCGTGATGGATCCAGCCTGCAGCACTTGGGCAGCCTGATGGACAGCCTGATGGGCAGCCAGAGAGCGGCAGACGCTGCAGGGCGGAGCCTGCTCGGACCTCCGGCCGGGGGCCCCGGGGCCTCCGCGCCGCCCTTCGTCTACGTTGTGGCGTTCTTCTCCGCCCTGGGGGGGTTCCTGTTCGGCTACGACACCGGGGTGGTGTCCGGGGCCATGCTGCTGCTGAAGAGGGAGCTGCGGCTGAGCGCGCTGTGGCAGGAGCTGCTGGTGTCCAGCACCGTGGGCGCGGCGGCGCTCTCCGCCCTGGGCGGGGGGGCCCTGAACGGGTGGCTGGGCCGCAGGCCCTGCATCCTCACGGCCAGCCTGATCTTCACTGCCGGCGGGGTCATCCTGAGCATGGCCCCTGACAAAGTGGTCCTTCTGGTGGGCAGGATCACCGTGGGCTTGGGTATCGGTAAGCAGTCCACAGGCCTCTGCACAGTTTCATTTCCTAAATCCTGAAAGAATGGGAAGCATATTTTCTGTTTTCCCATCAGGCATTGCCTCTATGACAGTTCCTGTGTACATCGCCGAAGTTTCCCCCTCTCACTTGAGAGGCCAGCTGGTCACTATCAACTCCCTCTTCATCACCGGTGGCCAGTTTGTTGCCAGTGTGGTGGACGGGGCTTTCAGCTACCTGAGCCACGATGGCTGGAGGTGGGTGGTCTCTCTACTCTGTGAGCTTTAGGAGTTTAGTTAACTTTCACACAACATGCTACCCAGCTCCTGGTGCAGTCTATGGTCATCTCCCCGCCTTGACTTTTGTAACGCACTCCTGACTCTCCCAGCCTGTACAGTAAAACCTTTACAAATGATCCAGAACGCGGCGCGTCTGGTTTTGAATCAGCCCAAAAAATCTCACGTCACCCCTCTGTTCATTGACCTCCACTGGTTACCTCTGGCTGCCCGTATCAAATTCAAGTCCCTGATGCTAGCCTACAAAGTGCTTAAGGGTACGGCTCCCATCTACTTGAATCCTCTTGCAAAGGCTTATGTCACAACTCGATCACTCCGGTCATCAATGGATTGTCGTCTAGCAGTGCCTTCACCACGCTTAAGACAATCCAGACTGTTTGCATGTGTCGTTCCAAGATGGTGGAACCACCTACCAAGCTCCACAAGAACAGCAGAGTCCCTGTCTGTCTTCAGAAACTCTTGAAGACCCCCCTCTTCAAATAGCATCTCCTATCCTAATCCTAACCCGTACCTCTACCCCCCACAGCTCCTTCTGTAGTCCCTCTACCTCTATCTCTATCTCACCACTGACTCTGATCAGGGTTTCTCCTCTATATAGCTTATTGTCATAGTGATGAGAAATGGAATATTGTGTCTACTCTGTAAGTCGCTTTGGATAAAAGCGTCTGCCAAATGCATAAACATGAACATAAACTTTAGTTTTGTTTCTTCACCTCTAAGGTACATGTTGGGTCTGTCCATCGTGCCGGCTGTGCTCCAGTTCTTCGGCTTCATCTTCCTCCCGGAGAGCCCCCGCTGGCTCCTGCAAAAGGGCCGCGTCCAAGAGGCCCGCCAAGTTCTCAGCCGGGTCCGAGGAGAGGGGGACGTCGACGAGGAGTTCGACGCCATCAGAGCCAGCATCGAGCAGGAGGAGATGGAGGCAGGAGGAGGTGGGAGGTTTATTTCGGGATGGGGGGAAAAAAGTGATCCACGCTGGGTTATGTTTGTGGAAAAGCGTTGCTTTCTGGTTGAATTTTTTCTCTTCTTTAGGAGGTGTTGTCATTTTCCGCATCCTCAGGCACGGCCCGACCCGCCGGGCTCTGATTGTGGGCTGTGGCCTCCAGATGTTTCAGCAGCTGTCTGGGATCAACACAGTCATGTAAACGGACCCTTAATCTTGTCACGACTGCCACAATGTTATGTTAAAGCCGCCTGATCACATTACCCTGCGCTGTTAAACCCCAGCTCATCCCGTCTGAACTCCTCCTCCTCACGGCTCGCTCTTCCTCTGGGGCTCCTGCAGGTACTACAGCGCCACCATTCTGCAGATGGCGGGGGTGCGGGACGAGAAGCAGGCCATCTGGCTGGCTGCAGCCACGTCGGCCACCAACTTTGTGTTCACCCTGGTGGGAGTGTGGCTCGTGGAGAGGGTGGGCCGCCGGAAGCTGACTCTGGGCAGCCTTTTAGGTTTGTAACTCTGAGAACGTTAAAAGGATTATTAGACTATGAATAACAATTCACACAATAACCAACTGACGTGCTTTTTATTATTTTCCATAACATCTATAATCATATTTCAAACTATTCTAAAATGGACAGTAATAATCTTTAATTTATTTCTAACCCCACTAGGACTGTGGAATATGATCCCAATAGTTATATCCCTTTATTTTTTACACACTGACGTTTTCAGTTATGTATTTTTCTTTATTTTATTTGAATATTTACCAAGATTGTTGTGCTTTAATTTCTCTTTTAAGAGACAAAAATATAACTTCAATGTTAAAAAGAAAGCCTAAAATGGTTGTTTCTTATATCTACTGTGTATATATATATATATATAAAAGAAAATCATGGGGAGTAAAAGAAACAAATCAAAACAGCTCTTGACAGAACTAGGAAAACTATTGATTTAAGGTTATACTTAAAATACAACATGTTATGCAGCTTAGATACAGTTTGAGGAGACACTAATAACACTTTCTACCACTATAGGAAATGGGAGTGACCAAAGCCCCGGAGACAAACACTCAGATATGATAAGATTTAAGAGAATTTCACCTCTACATTACCACGTCACCAAAATGACTGAACAAACATCTTTCTCTGAGGGGATGGAGGTTTATACGGTAGATTCTGAGCCTATGAAATCAATTAGATCTCAGATTAGTGTGAGCGGCAGTTCAGAAATATCCAAACGGTCCAGAGTGGAACAACATTTTCATGATGATTTAAAAGAAGGAAAAAAAGAACCTGCCATTTTTGTCTTTATTTATACGGATGCATTTAGGAAACGGCAAAATCTCAATTAGCATTATATATGCCATGTCTGGTAAAAACTGTGTCCCCTTTTTGGTGATTAAATTTTGAAGGGCAAACCAGCTAAATTCACAGTGAGTGTTTACGGCTGTATTTCCTTATGAAACATGTCTAGATAAGTGAGCTTAACCTGGACACAGAGCGATAGGTTTTATCTTAGCAACACTATTCTGGAAAAAGTAGAAATAGTCTGTCCAATACTTGTCAAGTCTTCTTGTCCAAGATTACATCCACCTGGGTTTTACAACAGAGTTGCAAAGTTAACGCTAACTAATGAGCGATTATGAATTTATATAATTCACATGAGTAATAAAATGCATTATATGATGTGTCACACGATATGCGTGTGAATGGGACCATCTGGTTTGAAATGATATTAAAATAGATGACATCGCTGATTCACTGCCCTTGTCTTGTTTAGAGGAAGTTGACCTCTTGATTCAAAAGGAGTTTATGTGGATGTTTGTTTTCTTGAACAGGTACTGCTCTGAGTCTGACTTTGTTGGCTGTTGGGTTCCTGCTCTCTGCCCAAAACTCTCCTCCAGTTACCCTTCATCCTTTTGATCCACATAACTCCACCTGCAGACTGTATGGGTAAGAAAAACAATCATTCTGCACTCCATTTTTTCCATTTCCATTTATTTATTTATTTTCTGAAACGAAGGGCTCATTTAATAAACATGTATTCTGTGCAGGTCCTGTGAATTATGCATGCTTGATCCAGGTTGTGGATTCTGTTACCACGACAACAGCACTGAGGTGTTCGATTCCTCCTGCGTTCCTACAAGTCCTTCATCCACAGACTCCGCAGCGTGGGGGAGGTCAGGAAATGAATTCCTGTTTTTCTGTTATGTTTAGACTCTAAGTTTCTTTCTAAAAGAAAACAACAATGCAAAGAGTTTTCCTGAGATCTCTATCACTGGTAGATTTCTGTGCTGGTGAAACAGCCGACTGAAAATGAGCTTTGTTGTGTTTCATCTTGCCGTCCAGATGTTCCAATAGGACGGAAGCCCCCGACAGCCCATCATGGGCTTATAACTACTGTCCTACACCCTATTCCTGGATTGTCCTAACGGGCCTCCTCCTCTACCTTGCATTCTTTGCTCCAGGTAGAAAACTACTACTTTTTACTATACACATTTATCAAGCATTCTACCATATGCAGATGACTCCTCTTTTCGTTCTGTGACTGTTGGGTCTTCACCTGTGTAAGAGAAGAACAAAAATGGTATAGAATCTGAACCCCTTTCAGGTCACAGGTGCTATGAAATGCCAAAACCTAGAACAAAAGTGTGTGATTATGACAGAATGGCTAACGTTGCTCTGCGCTCATGCCATAAATCGTACAGGAATGGGCCCCATGCCGTGGACGGTGAACTCTGAGATCTACCCGCTCTGGGCCCGCAGCACCGGCAACGCCTGTTCAGCCGGCGTCAACTGGATCTTCAATGTGCTCGTGTCTCTGACTTTTCTCCATGTTGCAGAGTTTCTGACTTACTACGGTAAGAATCTAACCTTACTCGAATTTCGTGTCTTATTCACTCACAGGATATGATGAGTCTCTATTGCTATGAGTTGTTGGGAGTGTTTTTGAAATGGCGTGTGAAAACATGCACTTGTGTCTAGGGGCCTTCTTCCTGTACACCGGCCTGGCGCTGTTGGGCCTCCTCTTCGTCCTGGGCTGCCTCCCGGAGACCCGGGGCCTGCAGCTGGAGGACATCCAGAACCTGTTCTCCGCACAGCTCTGCTCCGGCGGGCGCTCCGTGCCCGACGGCAGTCGCCACGTGCACTACATCCGGGTAAAGGGCGGCAACTACCTGCACTCTGAGGACGAGGACACAGATGTAGAATAGACGGGGTAGATCTCCTCACCGGGTTCTGTCATCTGGCTCCTCTCTCTTTTCTGCTGGGGACTGGGAATGCTGCTCGTGGGAACTTGGGGAAAACTATTCGGGTTACCCTCCAACGGCTGTGATCAAAAGCAGGATTGGGCTCTCCGGGATCTGACTAGAAACTGGTGCATTCCTTTGGTGAAGAGACTTTTTTATTTCTCCCACCTTTCTCTGTTTTACCAGGGTCTCTTTTTTTCTATCGTACATTCTCCTCATTTCTCATTATCTTTTTTATCAATATAAAAGGGAAATAACAGATTCATCGTGACAATCTAGCTGGTTAAACTACCAGGAAGGATTAGCTCAGTTTTAAATAACAAACGGTAAACAGATGATGGATCCTATCAGGTGATAGGATTTGAGTCAAACAAACAAAACGTCTGGCTACAATATTTTTGGTCTGGAAGAGGGACAGAAAGCAGTTGACCTCAAGATCATGAGCAGCTCTTTATGACTTCAGTCTGACTGTTCCTTGTTCATCTGAACTCTGAGTTACACACAGCAAGAATGTGTTTGCATTCAAACTTTTTAATGAACCTCTTCATCACTGAACATTTCAAAACAGTTTAAAAGCACACAAGATAGTCTTTAACAAGAATGAAAGACTATCTTGGTTTTAAGTTACTCATCTGGTGTGGGACCCTACTGATTGTGGCTTGCTACTTCCTACGTTGTGTTTTTATGTGATGTTTAAAACCATGATTGGAGGAATGAGTTTCCCCATTTCTTTTAGCATTGTTCGGAGCTCAGCCCCGCCCACTATGGAGCTGTGGGGGCAGACAGCGCCATAGCCTACATAACTGTAAGTGCAGCATAGAGGTGTCTTACATGGTTGAATGTCTCTTGCTTTGTGGTAACTGAACTAAATCTGAATGTTTCATTTTCTATTTCATATCTTGGTTCTTGCAGCTGCGATAATCCTGACCAAGTTCAACCAAGCACCTCAACACATGGCCTTTTTGCACTATTTTGCTTTTATATCTGGCAACTTGCTTTTGTCAGTACTTTGTTACACAAGAGTTTCTGTTAAAATATTATCAATATTAGAAACGGTACAAAACAAATGATTGGGATTAGATTTGTATCAACATGTCATAAAACATATTGATACTGAATTCAAGTTGTACTGTGTATTAAATATCATGTCTACATATGATAGGATCAGTGTCATGCATATCTCATTAATGGGATTAAAAACAATCATCAGACATTAGTTTCAGTAAGTTCAATACATGCACAGACTTTATCCTCAGGTACTCATGGTATGGTCTATTTTGAGTTTAGAAAATAAAAAAACATGAATTCACTGTAATGTACAAGGGACAAAGTAAGAGTACAATCCTTAAATGGTGTATATTAAATATTCATGCTGTTGATTGAGGTGCGTTCCATGTCTAATTTATTGTTTATGCCAAAGTGATTCATGGCAGTGTAATTAATGATTGAACCAAAAAGGATAAATAAAAGGATTTTTTTTAAAGTCATTATATATTTCAATTTCTATGGGCAGGGATGACCACTCGTTGCAGTCCGTGTTGCAGAGGGGCTGAAGAAGCCTCTGACTAAAGTCATCCTTGTGTCTGATCGCTTTTAGTTTTTCTATTATCGGTTCCGTCCAGCAGCTTGTCCAACATTCAGCTCTCCACAGCCATATTTAGGGGATTTTCAGGTCCAGCCTTAAACTATTATCAGTTTCTTTAACTCTCTTGTTCTGATGCTGCTTTTCCAACAAATGAGTGCAAAAAGATTAGCAACCTCCGGCTGCACGGACTTGTGGAAACGATGCGGTTTTATGCCACAAACACACAGACTTAACATCTCCATGGAGTAGATATAGATATGTATCAATGACAGAAAAACAGAGCTTGTATGTTAACTGTAGTTTAATATTCTTGTTTAAAGGCGCATGAAAGTCTTTAAGTTGCGTGGTTTTTAATACATGAGCTATGTTTTATTTTTCAGTCTATGTAAATCAATTATATGCAATACAAATAATGTATTATGCAAATGTAGCACATTTAGTAGGTTTTTCTGCAACTTATTGAGGCTATTTTTGTTGTTGGATTCTGTTTCTTCTCATGGAAGCAAAGCAGGCTGCCAGCTTCCTTTGTTTTCACAAAGATTTGAGATAATCGGATGAAACGTCTGAAATGAGCTTAGAAGAAAATTCACAAACAAGTAAAGATTAAAAATTAATTTTGATGCACTGGTTTTTACAGGCAATCGCCTTCAAATGCAGTGGAGCCGTTGCTGAGAAGTCTGAAAATGACTGTTCAAGTAAAAGTTAGCTGGGTTTTTTTTTGTGGCCACAGGGAGACGCTGAAAGTTTCAGGTTGGCAGGCTGAACTGGATTTATTATCCTTGTGACCTTGTAACCTGATAGGGTTTTAATGGGACTCCTTTTTTCATGTCGTTATTATTCAACAGAAAACAGCAGAATGGAGGGCTGAAGATTAACTTGCATACAAAAACATACAGAAAATGAAGCCCTGGCAGAACTAATCTTGGTTTGCTTTGCTACCAACTTTTGGGTTGCAAAATCGTGACTCTATTCAGGTATGGGGTTACGTGCACATGTGCTATGGCATTTCTGAATAACCATTTTATTATGCTCATCTCTCATAACCTATGTGTTATATAGTATCAACTGAGACCACAAGATGGCGCTATATGTTCAGTGGAGTCCAACGGTGAGTCTGTTTTTCTTGTTGCACTTGCTGCTATAAAGCATGCAACCACTTCTGCCTATATTTGTTCTTAAGCAGTCAATAGACAGTTTACATTTTAATGCTTTTTCCTGAAATGTGTTTAATAACCTTAAATGAATTTTAGGAATATATGCATTAGATTGTTCAAATAAATTACATTCTAATTAAATCATAAATCCATTTTGATATCATAGTCTGAAAGAACATTTAAAAAGTGTAATATTCCTTTATACTGCGATGAGGAATTATAATTTGGTAACATACACTGACTCAAAATAATAAAAAGAACATCCATCTTGTATTATTTATGGCACACGAAAGAAAAATCAATACACTAACCACACACAACAAAAAACACATGGTTGTTTAGCTGAACTGGCCAGTTTCTTTTCCCATGCTTTTACTCACCTAAAAGAAAAAAATTCCTACATAAGAACTTGGACAAAAACAGAATTGTGTGTGTTCCAAAACCAATTTAACAGAATACGATTATCTGATAAAAAAGATACAAGAAATGTAAGTCAACACATTTTACCATTATAAATGACTGAATGAATAAACATTTGTTTATCTTATTGTAAACAAAGAACCTACACGAACAGCATAAAACATGGAAACACAAACACAAATCTAATGCTGCCTGAGGGTTGAAATTTTGATTTGAATGTCTTTATCATTTGAACTCAATTGTAAGGATTTTATATAAATATTTATGCAAGATAATAAAGTCTGGAAATAACCCTTTTGATGTAATTATTTGGAGGTGTGAATGTGATATTTACAATATATAAAATAGTTCACAACAAATAAAGATTCTGCATTAACAATGTCACATTTGCTCACCCCAAGTAGAGAATTCTTATTTGTTTAAGTAATATTCGTATTCTTTCGATGGCAGAAAAATATCATATCATATCTTATTTATAACTTAAAACTAAATGTCAATAAAACCTATATGGTGACGTCATATCGCAGCCATGTTTGGGTCGGAAGGCGTGGCTTGCTGACGCATTGCGGCTCCCTCCCCGGTGCGAACGGCGGCGCGCGCGTGCGCTTCTTAAGCGCGTTCGGAGGCGCGCGCGCGCACGCGGACCAGTCACCTAGCAGCAGGAGCAGCGGCAGCCGTGGCGTCAGTGCATGTGGGCCCGGTCGGAGCTGTAGCATCCGGACCGAGCGGCGCAGAGATGCAGCACACCGCCTAACCTCCAGCCCAGAACCATGCCCCTGAACCCGGTTAGAGAATTCTTTTGACTCAGTTTAGAAATGGCGGCGCCGCCGCCGACGAGGTGAGCTGCCCGGTTGCTCGGTCCACTTGCCCGACCGAAGGGAGTGCGCACTCTTTTTATATTCCTATTTTTTTTTCTCGGCTGTCAAATAGCCGAAGCGAACACTTTTTTGTCCGTTTTTTCTTCGGTTAATTTGCGAGGAATCATGACGACTGGACAGGATGAAAGTTCGGTCCGTGTGGCACTAAGGTAGGTACCTGTCCGGCTTTTCCTCCCTCTACAGCAGCTTAAAAAATGCGTAGCTGTCCTAATTGCCCGGTGCTACCTGTCAGTCAGCGCGGGGGGGTGGGGGGCACACACACCTGCCGCTGGGCAGATGTAGCTGGGCATATATGGGTCCATGGGCTAGTTTCAGAATAACCACTTCGTTCAATTTTATTCGCTTGGCGAACCAGCTAATGTCAAATATGACCGCTTTGAAGGGCGCGTGCCCCGTTTAGTGTTTGCTTTCATCTTGAACGCCGCAGCCTGTTTGACACGCGGGCCATGCGGCCGTTTTACAGGTGCACACACACACACTCAGACACACACACACGAGCCATGCAGCCGTTTTACAGGTGCACACACACACACACACACACGGGCCGTTTTACAGGTGCACACACGCGGGCCATCCCTCCCCCGCCCTAGCATGAGCCGGGAGAGCCTATGCTATCTCTTCTAACGGCTCTCCAACTAGAAATTAAAAGACAGACGGGACAAAGACAGCGAGCCAGTTTCTCTCCGACAGCCTGGCCTCCCCCCCCGCCCCCCCGTCCCTGAAGCCTCCCGCAGAGAGACAGTAAATCGATGAAAGAGGAGCTTCACGGACAGCCAGGTTTCAAGGGGAGGACAGTGGAGCGTTCAGAGCCGCTCCCGGAGCTCCCCGTCTCTTTGTCTGCGGCCGGCCCTCTCCCGGAGCTTGGCATTCGGCTTTGTTAGACAGTGCGGACCTGTTAGCAGAGGCCAGAGTCGGCCTCCCGGTTGTAATTCCGTGCTCCGTCATGTTGCGTGCCACTCCCGGCCAGCACCGGGACACAGTGGCTCCTGTGACCGCTTCCACGCAGGCTTTGTTTTCTTTAGCTGGACGCACAATCACAGCCCATAGCCATCTCCTCTCTCCCCGCATTCCGTCTGGCCCCTGCGTGTTTTTGGTAACGTGAAGTTGCAACCTCAAAGGCCCTTGTTGTCAGAAATGCCTCATCATTGTTTGTGAAGGCAGAGGTGTGCTATTCTAGGATGACGTTGCTTTATCAGGCAGTTTTGGGCAGATTTTATTGGGAGATGACCAGTTTGCTTCAGTCAAGGGCTCTATTTTAAAAGGTTTGGTATATTGTGATGTTAGACTGTTTTTCACCAATGGTTTGTCTTGGTGGAAGACACTATTTAATGGCATATAAAATAATTTTAATATAGTCATGAGAAAGCATTCTTGTTTGTTTTAGATCAGTAGCTGATCATGGTGGATGCCATGTTTACATCCATTTATGTCGTCAATAAAGCAACAAATGCACGTGGAATTCTGTTTGCTGGAATCCAAATTAAGTACCGGTAGTTGTGTTGTTATATTGTTGTTTTTTTTAGTTCAAAAAGTGTCATAAATAGGATCAACTCATTTTCAGCCAGAAGCTGCTTCTTAAGAAGAAGCTTCTGTTTCCCATAGATGGGGAAGATAACTTATCTGGGCTAAACATAGAATATTTTAACCTTGAATCTGAAAACTAGCCAAGTAATCTAAAGGCAGTATTCCTGCATAATTCTGTCCTGAAGTATAAAAACTGCTGACTGAAATGCTGCGGTGGTCCGGAGTGGATAGACGTATTTCTTTAAACTGAATATTTACCTGTTGCTCTCTTTTAGTAATTGTGAGCTGGATATTTTTTGTTGTGTTATACTATAAAAGACTGCTTTTTGAGCAGGTAAAAACAAACAAACATCTTATTTAAAACTACTTATTTGTGTAGTTTATCCAGAGTGGCCCAGTTGATCTTATTGATTAAAACGTGGACAAAATGATAGCTGTAAAACCATTTTTTTAACGAACGCAACGCGTCCAAAGCACTGCTTGATCTGCAGCACACAGCTCCCATTATGGGTTGATGAGGGCATGCTATAACTAATACTAACCAGAAAGAATGTGGATCAGAACTGTCGACAAGAGGCAGCGCGCACAAACACAACCCATTAAGTGTGACGCTCATTACTCCGATGTAGGTGTGTGTCCAAAGCGGGCCTGACAAGTGCATTTCATGGAAACAGAACCTGGTTCACTGGCCATTACTGGCAGTGGAGGCATTAATGCGTGATCCCATATTGCGTACAAGGGCTCAAACTTCAGGGGTTTTAATCGGTTTAAGGCTACGGCTTATATAAACAGAGGCATTTTGTTCTTTCAGAAGAACTCGGGGTAAAAGGCGTTAGCTTTTTGAACACATGTGCATCGAAAAGCACGTGCTTCACCTACACAAAGAGCAGATTTGTGGTGGTGCGTTGACAAAAGAGTTGCTCGCTGCACCTCTGTGGCTTGTAGCACATGGGCTGTTTTGTTGTTGGCTTATTTAACATCTGAGGATGTCTCAATAGTTTGTCTTGAGTGCTTGGTGTACATAAAGGGGAAGGGCTCAGTGGAACTGACTTGTGGAACCTGCCTGCTGGGCAACTACTACAACACAAACAGAAGTTACCTCTCATGTCTTTTCAGGACCGCCTAGATCAAAGGGGAAGGAACGCGCTTCTTTTTTATTTATCTGTGCTTATTACTCAGTTAGCTTTGGCAGCACTCATTAAATACCAGAGCACAAAGGACCCCACATCATATATAACACAAACATCTCAGTGCCAATCAGAGTTATTGTCTCTCTCTCTTTGTCTGTAAGGACTTGTTGATTCTGAAGCACACCTTCAGGGCAAAACCATGAAAATAATTCAATTAAAGAGGTCCTTAAACGTCTTAAGACTTAAGCTACAGGCTTACTTGTATGTAATGACGTGGGGGCATGCAGCAACTGGAATCAGTGGCTAAGTCTAAGCCCTGGGTTGTGTATCGCAAGCCGATAGTAGAGACAAGGTTAACCGCGTTGGAAAAATCTTGTTAAAACGGGCCTGGCGATTAGAGCCGATATCAATTACCTAATGACCGGAGCCGCCCTCAACCAAGATGACAGGAGACAACAGCTGACAAAGGGCTGGGGGGGTGGGGGGGTGGGGGGGTGTTTACAGACTGGGCCCCCCCTCAGCTGAGAGGATAAGTGAATTGTGAAACTGTAACCATTCAGTGGGAAAGGTTTTCGGAGTCCCCAGCAGCCTTGCCTAATAGATTGTTTTAAGTGTTGCATAAAAGCTGTAATTCTTAATGCAAAACAAATGGCTCGGTCATGACTGGGGTTTTCGCCCGCCCTCCAAAGGCAATATATTTCTGTTTTTGCCTGATTGTTCTTCCTGGGAAATATGAGAGCGCAGATTAGTTACTCAAGCCGGATCCAGGCCCTCTAGAAAACCCGTGCAAGGCAAGCCCAGGCCCTCCAAAGAGCCCGTCAGAGCTCAGACGCTGGACGTTCAGATGTGTGCTGGTCACCCATGGCAGCGCCACGCAAGCACAAAACAGCTCCGGCGGGGCTAAAGCCTCTCGGGTCGCCTGCTTTGTTCACATCCACTGAGCCACACCAGCCTGTCAGGAGCTGCTGCTGGGAATCTGTGTGTGTGTGTGTGTGTGTGTTGGTCTGGAGCTGTTCTTCAATTCCTCGTTTTCTAATAATTTATATCATTGTTGGGATTCAGTCTGAGCAATAATTAGCACTCCTTTGTTTCACATTTCCACAAATCCACATGGAAAGTGCATCTAAATGTGCGCATTAGCCACATTTGATGGTGTTTGCTGGCTGCTTCATCCAGGGTCAACAGTCCTGTCCATTAGAACAGTGAATGACATTTGGAAATCCCAACCAGTGGACTAATGAGTATGTTTAGGGATCCCTCTGAGCATTTAATATCATTTTTTGTGTTTAGTTTTTTTAGAGCCCTTACCGATGAGGGAATATGTTCATCATAGTTGTCATGCATCCCTCTGCTTCTACTCTCCAACTATAGAGGACTTTCTTCTTCGTTCTTGTGGATGTTTCAATAGAGGTTGTGCAGTGGGTAGAGGCGGTGTTGCAGAAAGGCTCCCCGTTGTCTCTCCTCAGATCCAGCTCCCCTTTCCAGTTCCTTATTTTAAAAGGATTTTTCTTAAAAAGAAAATATTCTCAAATATACCCACTTTATTGAAATATTTAAGCTTCCCTGTGCCTATTTGAATCATTAAACATGATCTAATATCACATAGAACATCTCCCCCCAACTCTTAAGAGAAAATGGAACTTCCCCATATTTGCTCTAGTTCCATCAGTGCTTTTATTCGAGTGCTCGGCTTTAAATGAAAGAACCAGCATAAAAATGAGTGGTTATCAACCCCAGTGTGCATGAGCAGCTTTAATCATGGTGGTGACACTTTTTATAGTTTAGCTGTTAGCTTTCACACTGTGTTGAAATGAGGCAGATGTAAACAACAGCAGCCCACTTTCTGCACAAACTGTGGCTTGACACGCGGAATAAGGTGGCTGCTCGCTAAGTAAACGTGGCTATTCGTGGCCGTCCAGTCCTATTTGTGATGTTGTGTTGGCAGTTTGACGATGGAAGTCGAGTTACATCCACATCCTATTTGTGGCCCCCCGGCTCCCCAGTTAGACCTGATCCATTTCAGCAGCCGAGCCCTTAACTGGACAGGTCTGCGCTGGGAGATGAAGGCATCTGCATTGAAGCATCTTTAGACCAAAACACAACTGTGGGGGGGGGGCTTCACTAGATCATACTCAGCTCGGCTTGACTCGACTGGTTTCTTTGCATTTCCATTAAGGGATAGTGGCTCCTAATGGGTGCAATTTTTAGCCACTTCTCGGACCGGGGTTCCAAGTGAGTTGGGTTAACCCCTGGCCGCTGATTGGCCAGGGAGTCACGTGACTGGATGTGTCACGAAAGCGAACAAACCAACAACCCAATTGTATTATTTCTGTCATCACCAATGTTGCAAATACCTGTTAGAAGAACCAACACCGACGGCAGTTTGCTGTAACCGCAATATCCCTCAGTGTTATCTGGAGCTCGTTTCGCTTCAAAATGGCATCACGGACCGTTGGCCCGTCTCTCTGTTAGGACCTCACCCCAAACTGACCCAC